TCGATTAAAAAACGTGACGATGATGAAAAAATATAACGAGATTTACAAATACTAATATAAGAGTAAATTCCGAAAACCTGAAATTCAACGTTGAAAACAAATTTTTTTTTAATTGTAGTTACACGTTTAAACAGCTTTCATTCTGGTTTATTTTATCCTGAATAGTATTAGAATATATGGGCCATTAATTTTTTCATGAACTTTTCTCATAAAATTTCGTTTTTGCTTTATGCTTTCATTGGATTTTTGAAGTTCTATCTTTTGTTTTTAATGTTTATGCTTTTTGATTTCTCTTTTAATTCTTACATTTTCTCGTTTCAATATTTTCTTTCTCTCTTATTCATTGATAAGAGTCCATTCTGCTACCTGACTGTTAAAAGAGTACTACAACTGTGAGATTCGATGATTGATTATATTTTTCGACGCACGCACTATTTTCTTTATCATGAATTATACTTTGAAAAGAAATATTTTGCGTAGGTATCAATTGGCATCTACAGATATTTGTTCGGCGAATATATTATAACATAAAATTAATATAATAACATAAATGAATAACATAAATTATTATAACATAAAATTTTGATAATTTAGGTAATTGAGTTCAAGTTTTTATCGAAATAACATTGCAATATCAGCACCACGCAAAATATTGATAAATAGAGTACACGACCATTGGCTCATTGTTCTACGTCATTATCAAAGGTATTTTTAGTGTGCCATCACGAAATGATGATTAATAACTCGAGCAGCGCAACGACGTTACTGACTGAAGATTTCTAACTTGCAAGCGTTACAAGGCACAGTTTTGGAAAAATTGTTTTATTTTGAGTGGAATATATTAATACTACTTAAATTTAAGACCAAAAAACTTTTTTCCTTAAAAAAATTAAGTTTGGAAAATTTTCAATTGAAAATAAAATAAGTCACATTCCTATTCATATTTTACTTATTTTTGTAAAAAAACAACACTATTGTAAATTTTATCATTCAATAGTATATGTCAAAAACTAGTCTCACAAAATTTTTTATAGACATTTTTTCAAGACTTTTTTTTTGCAACATTAAGAAAAATATTTCATAATGAATAATGACATAAAGTTATAATACATTTCTCTATTTTTAAATAATATCGTCGTAAATATGAAAAATAGCTCAAAATAAACCTATAGAGCTCATTGAACATCATTTGGTCTATAAACAACTGTATTCTAATCTACCCCCCCCCCCCCCCCAACCTCAGCACAACGTTGTCACAGAGAAACTGAAATTTAAAGTTTTGGGGATTTATTCATATATGAAAAGTGGAATATTCTTTGATTACCGACTGAGAGATAATATTTTTTTAATCGTTAAAAAACAGTTAAATTGTAGAAAAGAAAGTATTGGTGCAAATTTTTGTCGCGATAAAAGTTTTTTCCGTAATTTTTAAATAACCAAATCTCTATAATATATAAGACAACGATAAGATAAATGATATAATGCTCATCTGATTTTCGCGAAAGTATAATATTGAAACATTTCGTCCGATACAAGATAGGAAGTGTAGATGATAATTATGTTGAACATATTTTAACACAGCTTACTTGCAGGAAAATTTTTATATTTTCTATGAATGATATGGAAAATCAAAAAATGCAAGTAGCACGTGAATTGTTTACGCGTATAAAAAGGTTTAATATTATAGGCTATCCAATATTATAGGCTATCCAAATAAGAATAATCAGACTAAAACTAAAGTGCCATTAGTGTTTTGAAGAATTAACATATGAGGATATAGAGTGCAATAGTTTCAATTGTTTCTTTGCAGGTCTGTTTTATACACGGACAAAATATTTGCCTTTATAGTAAAACTGATAGCGACGCATCATAATTGGGGGACGAGACTGACAAGCCTGTAAAAACTATAAGCTAAAGGCAATTTACATAGTGTTATTTTTATATACATAGCTATGTACGGGAACTTTTGATAATTTTAAAATGTTATATATTACAAAATTATTTGAGTACCATTAACATTTTTTAGACATAAACCATGAAATATTATTAAATAGAAAACACAAGTTTGTAAAAAAGTATTTTCGTGGTTGAGAATTGTGAGATCAAATGTAATGAAAAGTACAAGTGCAACGTCTTAGTTATTTTGTTGAGGCAAAAGTTACGCAACTGCACCGTAGCAATTGTAGAAATGACAATATAAAACTTATCACGTACCCCTAGAAATTTCACGAAATTTTCTTAGTAAAATTGCAATGATATATAAGTTATGATACAGCATCATAAAATTTATAGATCACCATACCCTAGTTTTAGGAAACTGTTACCATAATTTTTCCAATGAACTTTTCATCCGTGTAGAAACTACCTATGCTATGCTCCGGAAAAACGAATTTCCCAACGTTACGGATTTCCCATAGACGAATATGCCTCATCCTAATGCTGCTGGAACAGGCACTTTATATATCATTTAATTAGTCGTTTTTTACCCTTTTCAAAGCATTTATCAAAATCTCTGTAAAGTTTCTTAATACTTTCGTTATATTGAACCCAATAGTAGGTTGCATCAACATGAACTCGGGATAGACATTATGAAATCAATTACGTAAGCGCTCATTTTATATGATAAGCGCGCAGCTTGAAAAATGGGAAAAAGATTATGTATGTTGAAAAAATTGCTAAATAGCAGAAGTTAGACTTGTCCGCGCTTAGGTTAACGTCAACGTCAACATAAGTTAAAATCACAAAAGTGCACTTGAGTGGGTATGCTTGGAAGCGGCGCAGAATAAAGGGGCACGAAATTGGTATGTATTTGAAGCATGTAGTTGAAGTAAGTAAAAAATCGACTGATTGCCAGAGAAAAATAGCAAGCTGGCGCTCGGGTTTACAAGAGCTGAAGGTTCGTGGAAAGCCTCGGCTAGTGAGTACGCTAGCGCTTACCTTGACGCGAGGTAGGCGAGCGCGACATTCGATAATAAATCCGTAGAACGCGAGGGAGGCAGCGTCGACGGTTGCTGCTCGTCGAGGGTGCCTCCGCCAACTCAACGCGCCAGTCCGTACTCCGACGCGATTCATGTCGCGAGTCGACTACTTCCTTCTATTGTCTATATTCTACGTTATTTCACCCCAGCGATTCCTCATTTTTTCCTCTACTTTTCCACACTGAACATCTTAGTTGGCAATCGTACGAAAGCTGTGGTAATATGCGACACGCCACTCTCTATTCTCGCCAAGTACATCAGGAATGTTTGCACAAACGTAAGTATAAGCTCACATACGTCTTTTTTTAACAATCTTCATTTTTATTTCATCGCTATTGAGCAACATCGACTCTACTACTACTTTTACTGTCAACTACTTTGTCCCTTTACTACGCGCCGTGACAATAGTACCACTATTGCTTTCGTGCAATTATACATACCTGTCCGTGATCATACAATCACGCCATCGAAAGTTGCAACTATTGGCTGAGCTTCCACGTCTGAATGCAGGCTCACGAATGGCTTTTATGATCGGAAGGACGGAAAGCAGCGTCTAATAAGGCTCGAGTAAAATAAAAAGGCGCGAGTAGAAAACGAAGCCGAGAGATTAAGAAGGTGCTGGAGTAGTACTTTTTTTTATTTATCTTCTCTGTATATCATTTTGTAGAAATGTCCAAGTGCCTTATTACCAATGCATAGGAAACGAATCGGAGTGGCGGCTGCTGCTATTGGCTTTGGTGCTGCTGAGCGATTGTTACGTCGCGTGTCGTTCACGAGCACATGCGAAGGAAAACACCGGCGTGGAAAGAAAATTTACGCAGAAGAACGTGTGTAGAAATAGTTAGGACAAGGAATATATAACGATAGCAGATGAAGATCGGCGAACGAGTAGACGAGTAGACTGAATTGTAGTCAGTTAAAATTTGATATTGGAACGCCTCCTGTGGAGCACTTGGCTGTGGAGTAATTTGCGTGCAGTGCACACGTAGAGTATTTTTGACAGGGATTTTAAAGAGACGAATCGGGACGGGGCGCCAGTGTCGGGAGTCATTGATCTTTGCAGATTGATTGGCAGGATTAGTAATTACGACAATTGCCGTCGCTCGAGTTTGCGTTTCCGGGAATGCCGAATCAAATTACTAAGCGTCTTTTACGCATAAGCAGCCGCTAGTCCGCTTGGCGAAGAGGAAGGCTCCCGAGAAGCCAGATATCGGCAAACAAAAAATATAGCCTTTAGCCATTACGGAATCACGCGCCATCGATTTCTGATTTTAAAATATCTTCGATTCAAGGCGGATTTCTTATAAATCTAGATAGCTTGATTACAGCCTTCGCAACTGAAATATGGCTTTTGTCTTGGCTTATATATCGCAACAATCTTTTCGAGTCTTCCGAAAATCGCTTCACATTGTAGGCCTATACGTAGCTCTGCTCTTTCTCCGAAATTTAATAGATGCGCTCGCGGTGACTATACGCAGAGACGCGACTATAATTTGCAAGAATACGGAATGATTGATGCAAGAGCTAATTGCCAGCGCAGGATTGACTGCTGAGCAGAACTGGCTGGCAGCTAGGAGAGTGCGAAACTAGCGAGCACGTAATATCCAGCACGGGAACCAAGGACGGCCAGATAGTTAAATCGATCGGGCTTGCTTTCATAAACGCGTGCTAGGCCTTACACCAGCTACGCGATTGGAAGCGGAAAGTCGATACCGTAGCTTCAGCAGCGCTTTGCAGAGCATTCACAAAAGGCCTGACGACGAGCGATCGTTGAGAAATGATGGCGCGACCTGTTGGCCCGCGAGTACAGGCCGACGAGCTCGATGGCTTTGTGCGACTACGATCGAGCAGAGAGACGTCGCGGGCAAATGAGACGAGCGCAGCAGCGGCGAGGAGCGGGGCACGAATGGGGCAGGCCGAGAGAACAAGGCGAGAGCAAGGGGAGGCGGACGAGGCGCAGCTCGGCGACTGGGCGAGTCGAAAGAACGAAGCAGCTCATTTCAGCCGCGGCGAGGCCGAAAGGCGAACGCGTCGGGCCACGGTAGCCGTAATCTAGACAGATGGGAATCGCTAATGGGAGACGCGTCGGGCGCCCGCAATTTGCGCGAGAAATCTAATGGCACGAGGCCCGCCACTCGACGGGAACGCTCTCATGACAAAAGGCGCGCCGCTCGCGGACCCGACCATTCGCCCGCGGCCCCGCGTCGAGTCCAGCCGCGCCTCGCCGCGGAGTCGAGCGGCACAGACCAGCCGATAAACAAGCGAATGAATTCTCAGGAATGAAGTTGCCTGGCGACTAGTCAAAACGTGCGGCTAGCAGAGCGGCCGCGCTGCCATCCTCGCGGCGTCGCGGGCACAAGTGGAGGCCGCTGCAAGCACGCCAGCGTGGCTTCCTACCGCTCGAGGAGACAGCAGCTCGCGGAGGAGGTGCCCGGACTTTACATTCGGCGCCTAACCCTTGAGGACCCGAAAATTGCCAGGCAGCGTCCCGATTCGGCACTGAAGTCGACCGCTCGCCACGTTTGCCATCCTCGCGCTAGTGACGCGCCCTCAGACCGACTGACTCGCAGGTAACGGCCAACTCATCGGCATGTACGCGCACTTTTTCGCGTTAAATTGAGCTCCGTGCACCTTCGCCACGTAGCCTCACGATCCGTTCGCTGATACACGCCGATCGCATCGATTTTTGCCGACACTCGCCAGCGCCCATCGGCAACTCTACAGACTTGCCTTGGCAGTTTCGCTTCTCTTTAGGCAACGTCTTTCGCCGATGAGCTCTTCTTCTCGATGCCATTTGATATTCTCCAATCTGACTCTCTAGCGACCAATTGTTTCTTACCCACAGCGACAATTGCTTGCTGCAGTTGCAGATCGTGGCTGGAGCAGCGCAGACGCGAGCGACAACCCGTATTGACGATAACGTCGCTGGAGTTGCCTGATTGTCCAGTGCCTTTGATCGATTCGTTAGCGGGCAATCGTTACAGAACTGCAGATAGCCGCAGCGCTAACAGAGACGGAGCGTCGCACGGGTTGTTTGCAAAAGCTGCTCAAAAGAGAGCGCGAAAGACTGAGAGCTGGGAGTCCCATGGGCGAGATGCCAAAGCAATCGACGAACGTGATCCTCGGCCACACTATGAGATTGAGAGCTGCTGCGAAGCAATTGCAAATGTAATTCAAGGTATGATTGCGAATACTCGCGAGAATTTTAATGGAATCGAGAGGAATGTGCACGCGTCGTCTTGATCGCGATAAATTATGGAAAATGTTAATTGGCTGCTGATGATTATCTGGTGTAATAGTGCAGGTAAAGAAGAGGCGGAAGAAGAAGCGGAAGATGATAATAGCTATTAAAATGAATATGCTGAGCGCAGAGTTGAATCGAGGTAGTAGAGTCAGTTGGTAAAATGATGTTTGGGAATGCAGTCAAGTCCGACAGGTTGCGTGCTGCATAGGCGCATCGTGTGCATGCCTGACGGATGGTAGGCTGATATGAACCGTAGTACTATATTCAAGTTTCGGTCGAAAGGCCAAGTTTTGTAATTAGCGCGTTTATTTGGCAAACTTACAGTTTGTGTTTGGCAAATTTACGAAGCCGTTTTTTCTCTCCCGGGCCTCCCTCGCGCGCTCGATAGAGTAGTATTATATAATTTTTATTAAGCTACATTTGACTAATGTGCCTTACCTGTGCGCGAACAGTCATAACTTTTGCCCGAAAGTGAATTTTTCACGTAGGACCATTCATTTGAAGGCTATTCTCCTACCCTTTCAAATGAACCATCGAACGATCGATTTGATGACAAGTCACTTGAGTTATAGCTTTTTGCAGCAAACTATTTCTTTTTTACATGCGCGAGTTAGTGTGCCCAATATGGTCTATTTTGGAAAACGAGTTTTGGAAGGTTAAAATCATGTAAGACATTAGAGAATAAGTTTTAATAACAAAATGTATTGTAATTCACGTTACAGTTATTTCTTTTAACACTTTCTAGTAAAAGAATAAATTACGCTAATTTTGAAAAAACTGACTTTAACTTTAATAAAATATTATTATTAAATTTAGATTCTCATTAACAAAAATTTTAAATTAAAAATAATTTTATTCAAATCAAAAGAACACGAAAGCCATACAAACTGAAACAGAATGCAATTTCTAAAGAAAATTGGAAAACATCTTTGAATAAATATTTAAAAATATGATGTAACAAAATTCAAATTTTATTTTATAAATAAAACCTCTGATTCTACGCCCTTTACTGCGCATATCACGTTTTCTTGTATCCATTTTGCGTTCGTAAATTCAAAATTAAAACAATAGAGACATAGTTGTAATTTTTGTAAATTGTTTATACATTGTTTTTGCAAGCGGTCATGTTAGAATGAATTGAGTGAAATAGTAATCGAAGCGGCATTTGGCTTATTCATAAACTACAGAAATTTGGAAAAACGTTTTTGAAAATCCTATCTTAAAAAATAATAAGTCGCCGACATCCAGCGTTGTGATTGGTTGATGCTAAAAAAGAGCATTTTTGTATACTTAGAAATATTTTTTATATCTAGGAGTGTGAGATTTATACTTCAGCCGTAAATTCAATTTATAAATAATTAACATGAATAATAAGCTGTAAGAATAGAAATATGCTGTTAATAAACCTGTTTGAGAACATAATACGTTATGTTTTGAAATTATCAGTAAAAAATGGTTAATTTTATAATCATCTGCGATACTAAATCAATATCGTCGTGTTAAAATTTGGTAGAAAAAGAAAGAAAATATTATCAGAATATTAAAAGAATATTCACGGGCGTTTTTATAGAGGTGATAAAAAGTACACGATATTAAATGTATTACTAATAATACTAATATAAGATTGGAGCCATAATCATTACTATTGAATATGTAAGTTTAGTATTATATAATAGTATAATAGCTTTATCGATCTTAGGTTGAATAAATCTTTTGGATAATGTTTGTGATATATCTTGAAATGTGTAGAAGTTCATCGGTTATTATGAAAAAGTGAGTGCAAGTTTATTATTCATCAATGAATATTGACGTATATAGTCTATTTTTAATAGAATAACTTATTCGTGCCCGTTAGAATCTCCAAGTTTGCATGTAAAAAGTTCAAATATTGTAACAGATAACAGAAAAACATAAAAAATAGAGCGCGCGAAGCGCGCTAAATAACACTAGTGTAATGAACAACGGATCGAATGGTGTATAGGAAAATTTGTTGTCGGAATAATAAGTTAGCTTATTCTACATATTCACCTACAACTTATTAAAAAAATGAAAAAGTTGCTTGGCCGGAACACAAAAGAGCCTCGAAAATTGGAATCAACCTTTCGTAGCCTTCGACATTTGGACTCGTTCATCAATTAACCGTACTAAATGATTGTCACGAGGTGGCGTAGCAATAGCGCACTTCAATTTGAAATACCAGCAAAGGGGCATATTAGGGTCATATTATTAAAAATGTATTTTACTAGTGTTATTATTTGGCGTCTTAGTGAGTAGATCCTCGAGTGATTTCAGGGATTTCCTCGGAGGAGGTCGTGCCAGACGGAGATTGCAGCGAGGTCAAGGAGGAGAGCGGTCAAACGGAGGTCGAATCAAAGCACGAGCACGACAAGGCAAACGAGGCGAACGAGGTGAACGAGACGAACGAAGCGAACGAGGCGAACGAGGCGAGAGCGGCGACGGATGAATGTACGTGCAGCGACTTCTCGGAGAAGCTGCGTATCAACATTCGCAAGAAGACCGTGGTAAGACGGAGCTCGCGCAGTTACAGCCCAGAAGTGACTCACACGATCCGCATCGCGATGAAATGCCAGGAGCAACGCAGCGAGCAGTCTGTTCACAAGCAGAAGCGCGCTCTCGATGCTCTGGATTTGTCTAGTGCTAGCGTTCCTGAGCTGCAACCAGTTCCAGTGTCACCCTCGTCACCCTCCTCGCGAGCCCCTTGCTGTTCGGGGCTCCATCTCGCCCTCGATTTTAGTCTCAACTGCAATGGCTTGCAGCTCATCTCCCAAAACTGCAGCGTCCGGCCGATAATCTTCGCCGATCTTGATAAACACTGACTTTCTATTCGTTATCATTGATTCGCAGTTCGTCTTGTTGCATAGGGCTTATCATTCACGTAGCTGTACCAGTGTGTCTGTTTTATAGCAATCCAAACAGTTGTCAACAATTAACGATCGCATATTAACTTAATAGACCAGAAGGAAATTTGAAGTATTACCTTTGACCAAACATTTTTTTAATAAATATGTGGCAATTATGCCAAAATTTATCTGGTAGTTGTTAAATTACCAAATTTAAGCAATGTCTGTGATAAAAATATTACTGAAGCAATTCCTTTAAGGAATTTGATTGGTATTTACTGAGAAGTGTGGAAGTCCATCAACAAATGTTGATTAAGCTCCATGCTGCACGTGCAAGGAGCATTTTGATCCCAGCAAAATTAAGTTTCTTTGTATTATTAATACGATTGATTAATAAATTGCAGTTCTACAAGCTCAGCAGCTTGCTATTTTGTGCTAGCAAAAACGAAATTCTGTTGAGCTGTGTATATCTATCTATGGATATGCTGAGCAAACATTAGTTGACTTTTTAATCAGGTTCTCGTGCTTTCCAGTCACCAAAAAATATTTAGATCAGGTTTGCCTTCTTTTAACCTTCCTCGTCTTCTTGTTATTCTCTCCTTCTCCTTTTCTCTGTTCACTCTCCTTATCTATGCTACTTTCTCTCTCTCGCTCTCTCTCTCTCTCTTAACTCTTCCACGGAGTCTCTTTGTTTTTTTCTTGCCGCTTCTCTTCATTCTTTCTCTCCCTTCCTCGACAGTCTTTTTATTCGTTTTTACTTTTTTCAATCGTCGTTTCTTTTTATTCACCTCACTTTTTTCTTTCTTTCTTTGCTCTCGGCCATCGTGGTTTTATTTTGTCTGTGCGCTGTAGAGTCTTGCTCTCACCTGGCACGTTTTATGTTGCCGTTGTAAGTTGCACGGATCGAAATAGTTCACGGTCGCTTATTCTGCGCTGCTAAATTCAATTGTGTGTTGCCTGCACTTCTCTCGAAAACTGTTCAATAATACTCTTTAATCTTTATCGCCTTATGCTATTGATTTTATAACAGCTTATAACAGTTATAACTGTTTTTTATAACAGTTTGGGTTAATCAATGAGCTGTCGATCGTTTATTATTAAGCTGAAATATGCAGACTTTCTTGGTTTTGTCAATTTAGAAGACAATTTTCATGAAATTAGTGTCGACAGAGATCAACGTCGATTCTGTACAATTGGTTCGGCAGAAGGCATAACGTGCAATCTCTATGGCATTGGCAGGCGAGTCTCAATAGCTTTCTAACTTTGCTTAAATTTAAATAATCATCAGCGCACGTCTTTGTGGATCCCTCGTTATTAATCAGGACTTACTTGTTTAGCGTCTGCTGCAAATTCTTGATTTGTTTTTTTTTTGAGGGAAAGAAATAGAGGGCAAGTGATAGAATGCTAAACTGGTTTACCAGATTTATTTTATGCAAAAAACCTGACAGCTTATCAAGAAATCGTAATCGACAATCGCAAAGTGCAGATTTACGTGTGTATCTCTAAAACTTTCGTTAGAAGAACCAAAGAGAGGTGCGTGCTACTCATGAATTTCAGAAAATATATAGAAGTATGGCTCGTTCAATCTTACGGGATCAGATGAAATCAAATTAAAATGATTGCTCTCGTATATCTTCGACTAACGTACATCGATAACACTTAATTGAATAGTAAATTGTTATATAAAAGGGCTTCTTTCGTTCGCTTTAACGAAGCTATATGCGAAATGAGGCGGACAATACTACACATTTTACCGGAGCTACCATGGATCTTTCTACAAATAATTTTTTGCTATTAATGTCTTTCAACTTGACTGTTCCCGGGATATATTATGAAAATGTTAAAATATTGAACAAGCCACAGATGGACATTGATACGATAATTATGTTGTACTACACTTTGATTACGCATGTGCGCATGTGAAAAATTCTCGAAATATAAACAATGGATAACGTGAGGTAGCGAAAGATGGATAGTGATTATGCTAAAAACAAGTAAACGTTGAAGTGAATTCGCGGGCAAATGGAGGAGATATAAAATGGAGTTAGGGAAAATTTCGAGATCGCACTGCATTATATAAAAAGCATATTAAATCAGAGCATGGGCCTTTCTTCCCACGTGAAATATGCGCTTGCGCGGGCGCACGTTTGCGGACCGGTTAGTGCAAGTGTTGCTCGTATAGTGCAATGACATGTCGTACTTGCAGCGCCGGACACCAGTTATGCATCGTAAACTGGCAAAACACTGAGCGAATCGATGTAATCCTGCGGATCGACTGATTTTCTAGGTCTTTCAAGGGTATAAACCCTCCGGAAGTGTTAGTGTTAAAAGGGAGTTGTAAAATACTTCGGAATAAATGATTTTAACAAAATTGTCAAAAAGCGCCCTCTAGTGCATAAAGTTCGTCACTATCCTGCATCCGTGAACTAACTGATGAGTCCACAGCGTTGAGAATCCGAGCACTCAATCAAACAACAAAATTTTTATGTCCGTGGTATTTCTACATTTTTCTCATAACTATGAATGTCATAAATGTAGAAATACCACGGATATAGAAATTTCATTTTTGATTGAGTGCTTGGATTCTCATCACTGTGAGTCAATTTCAAATGAGCGAGCCAATATGCTGGTCCGTGCAGGCGCACTATCCTGTATCTTATCTTCAATCAAATAAAGCCACTTTCCATTAACCTGTATTACGTTAATTTACACTTAATTGAATAAAAGTGTCTTCCATAAACAAATAAAAGTTAATACTTACTAAGTATTCAGAAATCCCCAGGTGCACTGTCCATACTTATGTCATTTCAGTAACCTCGTTCATCGTCGATACTCAGGGATGTCACTCTTTTGCTAGTAAAACCACACTAAGTCAGATCGCAGTTGCCAAATTGCAATGATAATCTTGAGGTAGATGAACCTAATATAGGACTAATAAGTGTAACCTGCCGTAATTTTTGGTATTGAGCCGAATGTGTCAATAATGCTTACATTTCTCGACAGCGTTGGTCATGTTTAAACTTTAGAACAAAAATATTCAATAAATGTTCAGAGAATCAATGTTATTGAAGAGTATCAATATTTTAAGTGTAATGGTGCAGTTAGGTCGATGATTGAAAACGAGTTGTCATTCATTATTCCCTTTTTAATATCTCTTATTTGTCTTATTTATGATAAATTCGATAAATTAATAATAAATCTACGTAAGCACCATAAACTATTAATTATGCATCAATTTGTTGAAAATTCCAGTTGCTCTGCCAAAGTCGTCATATATTAGTATGGGTGACTGCAGTGAGTGTATAATAATTCTAACATATTCAAATTTCAGTGACATTGATTGTCATAGGGCGCAATTTCATGAAGGCAAAAGTGGTAGCGGTGAGCCTGTATGTGCGACTTACTTATTTATTCAAACTAGTCACAGTTTAGTCTAGTCATCAGGGGGGCCACAGTGGCCTTTTTAATTTATATGAAGTCACCTACATTTTTTAAATGTATTTTGGATCGCTGAACACGGAGATATTGTTATAGTTAAGTACAAAAAGGTATCTCTATGGTGCTCGAACAAAATCGATTATAATTCTGCCTCTAATTAATACTTTTAGTCATGCATGGTCTTATTTTAATGCTATAAACTGTATTCCATCTATACAAGTCATAAAAGACGTATACATTCACTAAAAAATTGAGAAAAGCCGTAAAATTTGGGGATTTTATCTGTTTTTTCGTCAGTTTATTTGTTTATAAGAGTATAAATGATCATCTCAACAAAGAAAACCATTAAAACTTATACAAATGAATGGAATTTCACTTGTAGAATAATGGTCATTTTTAAAAAAATATCGAATTGAGTTATTGATGTTTTATCGATTACCGCGCTGGAGTGTCAATAGCACATCTGCAAGGTCAAAGGAGACTTCGAACCCGATGAGGATAGAATGCGTCTCGTAAGGATTTTTTATGTATTTTGAGTGGCTGAATAAAAATTTCAAAGGTAGCTTATTAGAAAGTTAACAAGTTCATTGATTATTAACAAATTAACTTTTTAAATGGTCTTTAATAATTTTGTGTGCGATCGTAAGCAGAGTTAGAGATATATAAAATATTTCTTATCTTGCGATAACTTTTAAAATTGATCACATATTAATGTATTAGAATTTCATTCCAATAAATATAAAAACACTTGATTAAATATCGCAACCTTTATTTTTTGAGAGAAAACTTCGTATGAATCTGAAATTTTCATTTGTGAAATTTATAGTAGTATTTATTATGAAAAATATTTTTTTCTGCCTTATTTCACGTATTTACAAAATGAACATTTTACTTTCTGCAAAGTAGACCTTGAAATATCAAACGTTCTAAGTAAAGTGCTATCTACAAAAAATTGTCAACTGAGCTTCTTTAGATGAACAGTAATAAAATACACACACACACACACACAGACTCATTGTAAAACCTGTGGCAAAATTACAGTACAATATATTTCTAGATAATGTGTACAATACATTTCTAGTATAAAGTGTTAAAAGAATTGTATGGTTTTGCATCTGTATAAATTTAACACTAAACAAACCCAAACTAAAAGGGTCGAACGAAAAAATTTTCATGTGTTAAACAAACGGATATTGGATATTACGAGAATTGAGTCAATTAAATCGCGGCTTTTGTTAGATGAAATTTTTTCGTTAGATAATTTATTAAAACTCGTTTTTAAAAACTTGGTTTAACAAATACAGAAGTTATAATTCTAGCATAAAACACTGAAAATAAAAATCTACTTTGAGTAAGTATTATCAAAAAAGAATTAACTTTGTCTAAATAAACAAAAATTTAAATTTGAAATTTTTCATTCAACAAACACCAAGAATGTTATATTATATGAACATAACTATATAAACATAACTACATATCTAACTGTACATCTAAGTTGAATGAGTCTTGTAACGGCCTGTGAAATAATCAAATTATTCTCGCGGCCCGTTAAGAATTTTGTTTTCGCTGTTCGGTGCGGGGCTCACCGCCGCCCCGATCAGCTAGCCGCTTCCTGGCGATCCGCCGAATACGGGCGGACACGCGCTGCCCTGAAAAGGGATCGCGAAAGCACGGCTAAGCACGAGAGCGTGCGTGAGTTCTAATCACGGGCGTGGGAAGGGACAGAGGTGCCTTCCTAGGTACGCCCAACACGACGACAACACAAGTGTAGGTCAAATCGGGCTTTATTCCTTTAGGCAAATCTTATACACAATATCGCGTGCCGAGATTTTGCTTTGTATCCTATTTTAGAGAGAGAGGCGCTCGCTCGCGCGACTATCACACGCTAAATAATCGCTTACAAACGCAACGAAACTCACCGTGAAGTAGCTGCTGCAGACAGACTACCCCTCGCTAGTCGCCCGCGTTATCGCCCTTGCTCGGGTGGGCAAGTTCTGCCCCTGGTAACCGCCCACTCGAGATGACGATCTACAGGTTCCGGCGATCCTCGGGGATGGTCTCTACTTCCTTGCGCACTTTCACTTTTTCCTCTTGCCGGTCGCTCTCCTTTTTCTTTCGTTCGTGCGCGCACGTGACAATCCTTCCCTCTCGCCGGTCTAAGTCTAAGTCCGCGAAAACCGTTTTCTCTCCCCACTCTCTCGCTACGGCACACGCCTGATCGAGTCTCCTTCTGTCTCTCTCTCTCTTCACTCCTCGCTCGCTCGCCCGCTTGGCCATGCTTGGCCTCGCGCGCGGACAATCTTCCGCGAAAACGGCCCCGGCCGTTATAGCCCCCTCCTAGTCGGATGATACCCGAGGTAGTCTCCGACGATCATGGCGCGGAATGATTATGCGAGGGTAAGGACTAGCGAGGTGAGAGGGGTAAAGTGAAATAAATGTGACGGTGACATGAGGTAGGAATCTTTTATTTAGCTGCCCCAGTGGGCAACTGTCAGTGACGCCGGTGGCTGCGGCTGCGACGGAATTCGCCGTGGCGGGCGAGGTTCGGGCAGCGCGATGACTTGGAGACGCCGGGATGTCCGCAGACGTAGCATCCCTCGACGTCTCGGCGCGATTGGCCCTCTCGGCGACCCTCCGGGTCGACGACGTTGGGGTTGGGAGTCCGGCTCGTGCTCCTCACGCGGCTCCGTTCTCTTCGCCCCAGGGAATGGGCGCTCTGCTGGCGATGATGTTCTGACCAGCGCCCGTGACGTTGGCTGACATTGATCGTCACCGTGCTTCCCCCCGAGGAGTTGGCGTCCACGCTCACGCGGCCGTGGTGGGCTGGCTCGGGGGTAGCCGCGTCCTCGACGTCCTGGTCAGACGTTGCCTGGGCTGTGGGCCTAGTGGCTCTGGGCCCTTGGGGGCGCTGGTCTTCCGTGCCGGGCGCCCGGCGGAATTCCGGGTAGGGCAACACCGGAGGGGGCGCCGTAAATACGGGCGACTGCCCTTGCTGTATTGCCCGGACCGCCAACTCGTAGCGTTGCCACCGCTCGAGTTTCTCGAGCCACGGGTCAAGGAGGATTACCGCACCGGGTAGCTCCAGGAACTGCGCCGACTTGGTTAGGACTCGGCGTTGGAAGCTCATGACGAACTTCCAAGCGTTCCCGAGTTCGGTCAGCGCTCGCCCGATGCTTAGCCAGCCCTCTTCGCTCGATCGGCTCACCCACTCGCTCAATGGGGAGGTGGGCCAATCCGCACTCTCGTACGGCCGATCGATGCGGGGGTATACGCGGGCAGGCCTCGGAATGTGTTCCGGGTTGCTGCCCACGTCCCGTGCCTTCCGGCTGCACTCGGAGGGCGCGTCTCTTCGGCTCGGGGCCTCTTCTCGGCCCGTCGTGGCTCCTGGCGCGCCCGTAGATGGCCAGGTTTGCGAGGCCACCTCCTGCTGGTCAGGGTAGGCCTGCGTTGATCGATCTAGCCGGGTTGGTGTCGCCTGGGTTGACACCGCCCAGCGGAATGGCCTGACCTGGATTCCGCGGTGCACTGTTGAGCGGGGGGTCTGGGTGGTCGCGTCCTTTTTCTCGCCGGTGGTCTGCGAGGAGGCATTCTGGGTTTTGGGCGTGGGGCGATCCCTGCTTGAGGCGGGTCGTCCGGTAGGTACGCCCTTGGACGCGTATCGCCCGTACACCCACGCGTGCACTGACGTCTTCGGCGGCGGGGCAGTGTGGCTTATGTGCCCGCCGCGGGTCGGCCAGCCCTCCGGGGCCTTACGGACCTCGTCCAGGGTGAGCCTTGGATTCAGCCTTAGGCGTGGCGACGCGATGACGCCCTCTTCATGCAGCTGTTGCACCCGCAGGACGAGTCGAGTTCGGGCGTCATCTAGCCGGTGGAGCACCGTGTCCTGTGCGATGCCCTCCCGGATCTGGTTCGCAATCCGGTCAAAGATGCGGGCGAAGTCCGCATCCCTTTTCTCTTCGTCATCCAACTCGAGGGCCTCGACGCGCATCCGCTCGAAAGCCTTGCGAGCGCCGAAGAGGGTCCTTTTCTCCGACCGCTCGAGGTCCTCGTGTCGGGCGTGGTTGAAGAACCAGGCGGCGACTTCGACGACCGCGTCTTCCATCTGAAATGGGGTGACAATGGATGGTATGAGGTGAATGAATGATCATGACTGATGGGGGTAATGATTGCGAATGGCGCGGTTGTGATCGCTAAGCCTTCCTCGGTCTTCCAGGCTTTCGCTTGTTCGTTTCGACGGCTCGGCTCGGATTCGGCATAGCCCGCGTCGCTGTGCGAAGTACCAGGCGTGCCGTTTTCCTAGCCCGGGTGTGGCTTTCTCGCGGCAGTGGGCTGTGGGCCTGCCGCTTGGACCTTGCGCGGCCGCCCTGGTCCCGCTTCGCTGGCGCCGGCGCGGGTGTCGGATCCGCCGGCTCGCCCGGTTCGTCGGACTCGCGCTCGCTCGCTTGGTCGCACGCTTCGGGCGGGTCGCCTTTCGCCCTTGTCTCCCTCGGCGGTCGAACCGTGTCTTCCCCATCTTCGGGCTGGGTTTGGTCTTTGTACTCGGCCGAGTCGTAAAACTGGCGGAGGTCTTTGGCGTGGACGAGGGTGTCTAACTCTTCTTGGTGGTTAGCCAGTTTGAACGCGTTGTTGCCGCAAACTTTCGTGATGACGTATGGCCCGGTATATTTCGGTGCTAGTTTCGCCGCCACGCCTTGGGCCGCCGAGGAGAGGATCCGATTCCTCTTCCACACCCAGTCTCCGACCTTGAAATTATGCGGCCGATATTTTTTGTCATAATGGGGCGCCTGGCGCTCTTGCTCGTCCCTCGTGCGTGCTGCGGCCTCTTCATAGCAGTCACTCAGTAGCCCTAAGTGTTCGGCCCATTCTGCCCTGGCTTGTTCTTCTTCGTTCTCAGCGCTTGCGGAATCCTGTTGGCGGCGCTGAGTGCCGGGCGGAACTGGTTGTCGACCATAATTTAAAAGGGCCGGGCTGACCTTGGTGGTGCTATGTATGG